CACACACACACACACACACACACACACACACACACACACACACACACACACACACATTCTTAGACACACTGGTAGTGTCCACATTGGTATTTTTAATATATGGGCATTGGCCAAAACTTTTTGATCATAGAAAATTTTTAATACTTTAAAAGAAATAAAGAATGCACAGAGACAAGACAGATTACCTATACCTGGATAAACTTAACTTCCCAGACGTTACACCTCTTTAATGATTTTCAAACCCAGTCCAACAATGCATGTAACATTAAATACTGTCTTAGGACCCAACAACGGCAATTTTGACATTTCTTGACTGGTTTTAAACAATAAAACTATACATTTTAAAAAATAAATCATAAGTAATGATWAAATAATTTTTCACATTTAAATCAGTCAGTTAGGATCTACATGGAGTTCCAAAGCTTTGGTCTGTATTCCTYCATATTGAAACTCCGCAAGCCCCTCTTTCATCCCTATTCTGAAGTGTGTCTCATATCGACCTGTTTTGAGGCTGTCTCTTTAAATCCAAATGACCCCCCACCCCACCCCAGCTTACATACCAGTTCATTCTAGTTTGATGGAGGGTTTTACGACTATATAGCAGCGCAGAAATGTGTTATTTACAAATTAGTGAAAATTCAGTATGTCAACAAGGGAAGATTTGTCCATCCAACCTTACAAGTTGGAGCCAGAGTCTGACCCAGAGCGAGAGGAGAATGAATACAACTAAATTTCAGACATTATTTGGCAGTTCTATCGCAAGTAATTTGACATAATAGTTCAGAAAACATCTTAGAAAAAAATCTGAACAGGTAGAAAAGTATGAGCCAAACAGAATATAAAGATATGTACACAGCACCGGGAGAGACTGATTAAACTTTTCTAAACTCCTAGAGACTCCCAACAAAATGCATTTAACGGCTAAAAAAGAGGATTTTGCAAGATTTCAAAAGAATTCTTATTCAGTGATATTTTATGTTAGACACCTCTAATTAGACTGTGAGAAGATTAGATACAGAAGTCTTACTTTGTTCCCATTGAGCTTCCTGTCATTTTTCTTTAAATCTTGTGCGTRTGTGTGTGTGTGTGTGTGTTCTCTACTTTTAGTCTTATTTTAGCATGTGGGTAATGTACATTTCTAACTTTGTCTAAGCTGTTCATTTCTGTTTTCAACTCCTATCTTTATCAACAATCAGTGAAGTATACATAACTGAGAGCATGTCTCTGTCATGTTTTCATCTCAACTTTAACACCCCCCACTCTACTCCCCACAAATACTCTCTTTCTCAGATAAATCTTGGCTTGCATCCAGTACAAAATCGGCTCTGCAATGTTTTACCTCTTTTTGTCTCCATCACTTTCATCACCACCTGCTAACACCAATTTTCCCCCTGTTGTTTTTCATGGTTTTATAAGCATGCATGGCTCCAAAAACACAAATAGATGTGTTATAATAAAAGGGAAAGTAAATATATTCCTCCTAATGGAAGCAGAAAGGTGAGAAGTCTTTCTGAAACACCAGCGTGACACTATCAAAGCCAGAAAAAGACGTGCAATATGGAAGGGGGAGGACAAACAAATCATCCTATGAGCCACTCTCAGCTTCACAATATGTGGCACTTGGGGCCTCTTTTTGAGAAAGAATGTCCTAAAATTAAAAATGTGATTCATTTTTCAATCTTAGAGCTATGTATCGAAGAATGAATAGGCTTACACCAGAAATTCAATGCAGAAAGTCTAAAATGTTCTCATGAGTCATTACCATGATGAAATAG